TCCTCCCTCTGCAGGCTAGCCCTGGTGGGGTACTCATTCCAGCCTCGGGGAGCCGCACAGACAGAACGCAAGAGAGAAGAGACACAGACAGGGAAACGGTTCTCCCAGAGAAACAATAGCTCTGTAACCGAAGGACAAAGGAAAGGGGCGACTGGAACTACAGGCTAACCAGGGCCATCTTCCCAGATGGGGGAGGGGCTCTCCTGCACCCTGGCTCACAGGGAGCGGCAGACAGCTGTGGGAGGTAGATTCAGCTGGCTGGACACAGACAGGAGGGAGGGGATATGGGAGAGAGAGAGGGAATCAAATCTAAGAGCCAGGCTGGCCTGTCTGTCAGTCTGTCTGACCACTGGCCACAGGCCTCTCGTTCCATGGGGAGCCATGCTGCACGGACAGGTGAAGCCACTGGACCAGCTCAATCATCGTATTTATTCTAACTGTATCGTAATCGTCCCCAAGGAGCCTGGTTCAAATGAGCTTGCTTGACATTATTAAAATTTTAATGCCCAGTTTTCATAGCTGAATGAATATTTAAAGGGTATGTCCCAGCTTAAGTTATGATGATGAAGAAATTAATGGAATGTCTTGTTTAATGCATGGATATGTGTTGATGCAAAAAGTGGCAGAGATGGGGAGGGGGAGAGGGAGGGGAGACAGAGAAGGGGCCTGGGAGGGAAGGAGCCACCTGCCCAGCCAGCCCTCTGTTGTGGTTAGGAGCAGGGAGGTTTCAAATCCTGGGCCAGGACCACTTGCTCCCCCTGAGGGGGCCTCAGGCTGGAAGCAGAAACACAGTGGACAAGAGTTAGTGATGTGTCCCCAAAGGCCTGACCCCAGAAGCCTGCAGAGCAACTTCAGGGAGCTGTTTCTGACCCAGGGAAGGTCACTCGGTACCTGCAGGCATGACCCTGGCTGAAAGCTGCTGGGGAACATAAGAATGCTGATGACACCTCAGAAAAGGGATCAGCAAGGATGGCACCTGCACGGCAGTCCATGTCCCCACCAGGCCCCAGCCCCAGGCCCTCCTAGAGGGATAATACACGTGCTGAGGGGGACACAGAACAGAGAAAGAGATGGGGGAATGGAAAGGCACCATGGAGTGGGCTCTGGTGTCCTCAAAGTGGGGCATTTACCTGAAAGGGACGCCCTGGGGCCTGTGTGGCCTGGAGGTCCTGAGGCCAAGGCCATGGTCCTAGGATGCAAAGTTAGAATAAGGACAAGGACATGGCAGGTACCCCTCCCACCTTCCTCCCCATTAGCCTCTCTCCTCTTTGTTGATGTCCGCTTCCTCACCAGCCCTCTCTGCGGCCAGGCTTGGTCTCCTCTCCCAGGACAGGCTCCCTCTACGCACACCTCCCTCCTCTAGGTGAAACCAGGCCTTGGCGAGGCTGGATGAGACCAGAGTTTGGAACAGGGAAGGGAGCCACTGACTGAGGGAAGAAGATCTCCTTTCAAGCCCAAAGCATCTGTACAGAGCCTGCTCTGGCTGAGAAATCTTCCCAACCAAGCCTGACACTTTATTTCTGCTGAGAATTAAGAAAGTGCGAGGCCGTATTTTATCTCTCCATCTACCTGGCACCTCTCTGACAGCCCCGAAAAGACTGTCTGGACGCTGACCATCTCTAGACCATAATGGGACATGAAAAATGATGCAGGAGTCACAGGTCCATGGGAAACAATTCAATTCTGTCCAGCAGTCTGTTTGGATCACCCCATGGGTGCCCAGCCCATGGCTGAGGGCAGGTGGGAGGCTGGATGAGACCCAGGGAGCCAATGGGAGAGAAGCAGCAGGGCTTGTGTGTGAGTCCCGAGTCGTGGAGGAGGTCTAGGAGCACTGTCCTAGGCCGTCCGGGTCAAGCACTCCCAGGCATGGGAGGCTGGAAACACATCAGGCCTAAGGTGGGAACCTGGTGCAGAGCATTCATGAATGCCCTGGTCCCAAGGACAGTGGGACAGTGACTGGCTTCCTCCCGGGGTGAAAGGTCTCATGCACAGGCAGATTCCACATGCCTTGTTTAATGTACCATGGAAAATGGGTCCTATCATATCAGAAACAGCCCTTCCCTGGCCCTTGCTGATCCACAGGACTCACCCCAACTGCTCTCGGACTCACATAGAGAAGACTGGCCGTGGGACACAGAAACAAGACACCAGGGAAAGAGTTCTCCCAGCAGCCCCTGCCCTTCCTCCTGGCATCACCTCTAAGCACAGGCGTCAGCCTCAGTGCCCTCAGGCCCTGGGAATGTAATCTTCACGACCTCCTTCATCCCCTCATCTGTACAGTGGCAGAGCCCAGCTGGGTCTGGTTCATACATCTCTACCTGCCTCTCCTCAGCTATACTTTCCTTTCCCTTCCTGCTAGGGAAGCCTGAATCCCCCATCTGGCCCCTGCTCTCCCCTCTTTTGCTTTCACCTTTCCTGGACCATCCCCAAGCCCATCACAGCTGCTTTCCAACACCTCCTGAAAATGTAGTCATGTTTCAACAAGAGTCCTAGTTCTTCTTGATATCACCGTTTACCTCCTGTGTGACCTCGGGCTAGTTTCTTAACCTCTCTGAAACTCCTTTTCCTTGCTTCAAGTTAAGGACAATCTAGTTGCATGCATCAGAGGGGAAGTTATGATAATCCAACAATATAATCAATGTAGCAGCTCTTTGTGCTCCTGTAGGTGTAGCAGCGTCGTGTACCCTACACAGGATCTGAGTCCCTCCCCTTGCAACTCAATTCCCAGCCTTGACTGTACCCTCTATATGGAAAAGGTTGAATTTTTGCAGGAACCTTGACTCTGGGGTATCAGGAAGGCTGCATGGTCAAGAGGAGGAGGCTGGTGGGAGTGTGGGAGAGGAGTTTGCAAGTTGAGGGAATGGACTTGGGGCAGGAAGGTGCCTGGGGTGTAGGGAATGGAGTGATACAAGCGGTGATAGGGGTCAGATGTGAGGGGCCTGGCTGAAGAGGTTGTATTCAATTTGATGGCCCAAGAAACTTGGCCCCAACTCCCCTTGACAGATGGACATTGTCCTCATGGACTTCCTCCCAGAGTCACTGGGGTCAAAGGAGATAAAATACAGGCAGGCCGGCCCACCACCAAGTTGTTAGCACTGTTCCTACCCATCCCAGCCGAATCCCCGATCTGACACTTCTCGGAGCTCTGACTTGTCATTGGCAGGAGAGAGATAACACTCCCCACCTCAGGAAAGTATAATAATTATATAAGCGAAAGAGATGTAGAAATATGCCCAAGAGAAGACAATGGCCAGAACCGGGCCCAGGTCAGTCGTGGGGCTTTTCTGTAGGAATACTACAAGCCTGGGGGAAACCAGGAGACAGGGTGATCTAGGAGGGAGGGAGAGTCCAGGAAAGCCCTGGGTTCTGAGTCCCAAAAAGTACTGGACGGGAGACCAGGAGTGCCCCGGCTCCCTCCTGGAACCCTTCTCCCAAGCCAGATGCCTGCTCAGCCTCCTGGACCCTTCACTAAAAACTGGAATGGAGGTGCTTTACGGGGGAGCCAGGGGACCCTAGTGAAGCCGAGCACTTAATTGTGTCCCTCTTTCTTCTCTCTGTGATGGAAGCTCTCATAGCACGGCAGTTTCCTCTGCTGGGAGAGCTTCCACACAGAGCACCTTTCTTCCCCTCAACTCCACACATCGTGCCAAGTGGAGACCACGGGCAAACAGTGGCACCCTGACCCCTCTCAGTGGATTGGCCCCCAGTGTCCTGTCTTGTTCCTCTGGCCACCTGGCCTCTTATTCTCTGTTCCCTGCCCTACCTCTGCCTCTGTCCTTCCCGGCGGTGAGTCTGCCCTTCCTTGTTGTCACCTTGCTGACTCACCAGCACCCGCACTCCCCCACCCAGTTGCCTTGACGTAGCCAAAACTCACTTCGAATCAGAGACCAGAAGGCCTGAGGAAGCTTGTGACTGGCTAGCCCAGCCTCCGGACACGAGGGGAGTTGGCAGCAAAAAGTCACCCGGTACAGGACAGAAGCCCCAAAATAGCCCTGGCAACCTGGGTTCCCAGGATCCTCCTGCCACTGGTGGCCCTGCCTCGGCTTCCCCATCTATAAAATGGGGGTGTTAGCACCTGCCTTGCCTGCCTTTCAGGGTTTTGTTGAGACAGATGTGCAAATGTGATGAGGGGTAAGGGAATGAGTGCATGGCAGGCAGAAGCACTGGCAAAGACATAAGGTCAATCCATTTGCGTGATTCCTACTGCTTTTATTGCTTGAAACACCTTGGGACTTCAGGGCTGGAGAGCCCACCCTGGTGCCTCTTGCATCAGAGAGGATTAAAGACAGGCTACTAAGCAGGGATGCTTGGAGTTCAGAGACCCCTAGTGGCCTGGACGAGGCATGGAGACAGATCCTTAAGAGAGGCAGGTGGCCTGGAGCCTTGGGGAGTCAAGCGGTGCCCTGCTGTCCTCAGGGGCACCCAGACACCACGTGAATCAAGTAACTATGCCAGCTCCACACGCACTTCCAAGGGGGCATTCCTGGCCACAGTCAGGAGCCCCAGCCCTGAGCTCTGCACCAACCAGGAGCCGGTGACCCAGAAGCTCAGGCACCCCGCAGCTCACATGTTTGAGATGGCATGGGGTGAGGTGAAGCTCGCTGCCATGCCCCGGCCTAGGGGCAGTCTTGGGCCAGAGACCAGCTGGTTTGGGCAAAGCCAGCAGTGAACCAGGGCCAGCCAGAGGTGATCTGTGAGGTCACCTCAGATTCTGATAACACAGGCCAGCAAGAGCTGCTCAAAATTGGGAGAGGGATACCACCCGGTCTCCAATCCAGAGAAACCTTCCTGCAAAAATAGGGCCCTGGGGACTGCATAGGGAAGGGAAATGGGCGGGGCCCTAGAGAAGACACGCAGGTTTGCAGCTGCATGAGTGTCTGCTCGTATATATCAGCCGGTGTGGTCTGTGTGCCTAGGTGCCTGTGCACCTCCGGGTGTGGGTGTGTCTGCCCCCCACTGCCACACCTGCTCTAACACTGGCCCCCTGTGCTCTGTTGCAGATGAACCGGCCGATCCAGGTGAAGCCTGCGGACAGCGAGAGCCGAGGAGGTAGTAGCTGCCTGCGCCAGCCCCCTTCACGTGAGGGCCCACTTGTCTCTGCCCCCTCCTCCCCCTCCCTGCCTCCCTCTTCCCAATGCAGCAATGCAGCGACTCCTGTCACCTCCTCCTGTCCACCCTTCAGAACTGGGACAGGGTTTGGAGCGCTGGGTGACTGGTTGAGGGGGACAATAAAAGGAAGAGGGGGATGACTGGGGTCTTCCTGTGAGTAAACAACTACCATGTCCTGGGACATCCTTCTGCTGCCTTTAGGACACGGAAAAGGTGCTCCTCCCACATCTGTGTCACTAAGGAAAACCCCACTGTGATGGGACTTGACCAGTTGAAAGGGTGCTGGGTCAGGAGGTGGGCAATGAAGGTAGGAAATAGGAGGGTTCAGGCCAGAGAAGGCGCATCTAAGAAAGGCTTCCCGTGGGGGTGTTGGACTGCTGAGGTCAAGGTCCTGGAGCTGGATTTAGGGAGATGTCTGAAAGGAGACGGAGCAGGAGGACACAACCTCACACTAAATACCGGGGTCATTCTCAGAGGGGAGACTGCCCTTCCACCCATGAGGATACACAGAGGCTCAACCAGGCCAGGCTCTTGACCTCCTCTGCCAAACGCCCACCATTGGGTTCTGGCCCGGTGTCCATGTCCACACCATGCCCAAGTTAGGCCCCTCTGCCCTTGGGCTGTCCCGACCTGGGTGTGGACAGGTCACTCCCCTCTTAGCTTAGAGAGGTATTCAGGAATTGCTCTCTCCCTCCCCTTCTCTACCCACCCCCAAAATTTTCTAGGAAATTAAGAGCCAAAAGTAAAATAGGCAAAAGCTACTTGTAAATTCAGAGTCAAGGTCTTTATCCTGAGAGATCTACAGTGTGGCCACAAAAGAGCGCCCACTCCTGGCACCGGTGGTCCCTCCAGCTCAGGCCACTTTCCTCTGGACCCCAGCAGGGCCTGGTAGGAGACCGGGGCAGGGATGGGTAGAGACACACGACATGGACGACGACACGGCCTCTATGGCTCTGGTGGCCTCCTGACCTGATCCTCGAATTCCACCCACCAGGGCCCAGCTGGTGTATTGTTGCTGTCCCCCAAAGATGCCCTACATCCTAGGGCACAGACACACCAGACACACCTCCCTATGGCCCACTGAGAGCTCCCCGTCCTGAGGACCCTGAGAGTGGAGGTAGGTCAGTTTAGGGATAGAGATGGTTCAGGCATGAAGGGCCTGAGCCAGCAGAGCCCGCTTGGTTCTGCTGCTGCTCCTGTCCCTTTCCAGGCAGTCGAATTATTACAGTTTTCTTCAGGCACAGACACTCAGTGCCAGGCGCCCTTACACTGTTGGTGAGAGGAGGGCTGTCCTGCCAGGGCCTCACGCAGAGCTTCTCCTTGGTGGTAGCACGTGGCAGAGCCGGAGGCTTCTCCTGGAGACGGTCTCTGGGGGGTCAGCCCATGTCAGCACGTCATGCAATGACTCACCTGCCACACCCTGCTCCTGTAGTGGGACCAGAACACAGCCAAGAGCCTCCATTCTTGGCAGGTAGAATAAGTGTCACCTGCCATCCCAGAGAGGGGCTCCCCAGGCAGGGGCAGCCAGAGGCCTTGGAAGAAGTGACCTGAAGGAGAGGAGACTCCATACCTAGAGAAGTCAGCCCCAGGAGGGAGGCCCCTAAGGGGGAGCAGGGGCTCCCGAGTGCAGAGCAGACAGCTCAGAGTCCAGCCAGTTTTCTCCAGAACCAGGGCGGGGTGGCGGGAACCCCTCTGCCCAGCGAGGCCACACTGAGCTCTAACTCAAGCCCAGTCTCCCTTCCCTTGCCTCAGAGGCAATAGCTCTCTGACTCCAAGTTGCTAACCTCATCTGCTTTCTCCCATATATCTCCTGCCACTGACACTTGCCCCAAACCAGATTAATCAGCTCTTTTATTCTTCCTGCGGTAGAAAGGGGGAAAGCAGAGCCAAACCTAAACATCTATCTATTAATTGCATATTCAATATTAAACAGCAAGATGATCCTGAGTCAGCACTATCACCAAGCTAGTTTTTAAAAAACGAAAGTCAGTTTAAAATAATTTAATATCCATTAAATACTTCTTCTGGGTGGAGGAGATGGGGGAGAGGTGAGCATTAAAAAAGATGAAAGAAATGGGAACAGGAGAAGGGTAGGAAGGCAGGAATGGGGTGGGAGGAGTAAGAGGGATGCTACGGGAAAGGTGATGGGAAAAAGGGCAAAAGGATCCCCAGGAGGAGAGAGGCCTGGGAGAAAGTGGGTTGAGAGGACGATGGAAGGGAGCTGGGAAGACTTGGGGGCGCAGCTGGGAGGAGAAAGTAGGAGGTAGGAAAGGGAAGTGACCCAGAGGAAGAGGGGGGTCTGCCCCACCCAGACCTTCCTCACCCCAGCTCCAGAAACTGGTGCAGACCTCACAGAGTGTCCCAAGGGCCCTGAGGACATGAGATCCCCAGCTGCACTCCAGGTGCACCTGAATGCTCTTGAGTAGCATGAAGAAATGTTTTCTGCTTAGGATTGGGGAGACAAGTTGGGACCTTGGACCAGGGGCAGGAGGAAGGTGACTCTCCGCCTCACCCACCACAGAGGGAGGCCACAGCCCACTGCTACCACATCAGGATCCCAGCTTCTTGCTGAAAGGCCACCATCCTATCAGAAATTGTCAGGGGGTGCTCAGTTCTTTTTTCTCTGGGGTGGGTTTGGCTCCAACCTTACCTCCAGAGGGGTTGGAGTGGAGATACAGGAATCCACGATACACTGAATGTCAGGGAGAGGGGCTGGCTGGGTGCTCGGCTGGTGCTCCCCAGAAAGAGTACAGGACAGCAGTTTTTGTTCTGGTCCAGTGTTCTAGTCCTGTCTTTGCCTGGCACTCTTTCTGAGGCTCCACCCTTCACTCAATGAGAGGAGGGTTCACTATCTAAAATGGCTGTTTAGAGAGCACCCACTGAGGGCTGGGTTGGGAAGTGGAAGTTATTGGCCCTACTTAAAGGTGCAAGCCAAGATACAGAGAGGTTATGTGACTTGTCCTAAGTTACACAGCTAGAAGATGGCAGAGCCAGAATCCAAACCCATGCCTGTCAGTCACCAGCACCCAGGTATTCTGCATTCTTCTGACCCCTGGGATAGTCTGTCAGACTTAGAGGGCAGTGGGAAAACACCACAGGCATTTGTCATGCCTCTAGGCCTATCTTAAAGGCAACTGAAATGAGAGGAGCAGGGTCCCAGGTGAGGGAGGCAAGATGAGACTGGACAAGGAGCTCCTGGACCTACCCATAAGACATGAGAAACCAGAGCTGGAGGAGGTCAGAGAAGAGAGAGCTCATTTTTGCCTGGAGTAGGCAGGGAGGGCTTCCTGGAGGAGGTAGATATTGGACCAAAAGGTATAGCCTTGGCAGGAGACAGTGAGGGCAAGTGAAAGTGGGGCCCTAAACACAAGCCAAGGAGTTGGGCATGTCTCCCTCAGAAGCAGGAGCCACTGATCCTGACGGAGGGACAAGTCAGAGAGAGGGTAATGTCCTTGGGCAGGAAGAGAGGAGACAGCGCCTGCTACCACTACCAAGAACCAGGGCTCCAGCTAGGCAGGGAAAGAAAACCAAAAGAGAAAGAGCTTCCCCAGGAGCCATCCCTCTGCAAGGAGGACCCAGTTAATTCACAGAGCTCGTGGGAGTAAGTTGTATTTAAACTCAGATTCACACCCAAATAAGCAAGCCAATTTATTACTCAGGGGAGTGAGGCAGGCTGAGGACAGAAAGGGTGGAAGGTGGAAGACAGAGTGTATGTTCTGCCCTGGCCATCTCTGAGGCAAGGACACTCCCCAGGGCATGCAAAGGTACCACTTTCAAGAGCTGGTTCATGGTCAGCAGGGCCCCACAGCAGGGTCCATTTCTTCCCTGTCTTCCATTTCCAGATCTGGGACTCCTCCCCACCCGCTCTGGCTCTCTCCCTCCTATCCCAGGGCTGGACTTGGGCAGGACCAGAAACACATGGGAAGGTTGAGGACAGGTGCGACAGCCTGCGAGTCATTCCTTTCCACATGGGTCCCCGTGGCAAGTGCAGGCCCAGTCGTTTAGCCATGCAGCATCCCTGCAGCCTTTCGCGGCTTCCCGTTCATTTAATGGCATCTCAGGGCGCCTGTCTCCCCTCACAGTGGCCGGCACTAGTGTGGCAGCAGAGTCCCGCTGGGCTGGCTAATGAGGTTGGACACAGTGCATGTGAACACGGCTCCGAGGCCCTCCTGAGGCCACGTTCCCCACCATAAAACTGCGGCTGAGTCTGTCCTCCCGGCCCCTCCACCATCTGTAGTCCCATTGGTTCCTGCAGCTTTTAAAATCCTATTAAGTTCCTCATTTCTCCTCCGAGCATTATTTTATTTTAAAACAGACGCAGACAACGTGCTGTCAGGGAGGCCTTCGAGGGGCTGTTGGGGACCAGCTGATGGGCATGCCCACCCCACCCCCCGACCCCGGGCAGCTTCTTGCTCCTGCAAGGTCCTGGGGCCTCAGGAGCCCTATGGCCACACTGTTGACCTCCAGATGCTGGGTTTCTTGCTTCTAGACTTTTCTAGCTTTTTAGTCCCATATTCTAAGGAGATAGTTTAATGAGTGAGCATTTAGGTTAAATGGATGTGCAGGCTGGTCCTGCTTTATGAAAATTCAATATACAGAAGTTTCAATTTTCCTCTCTTAAGAGGCAATAAACGACTCACTTCACAAAGGCTTCTGGGTGAACAGGAACCCCTCAGGGTCCAGCTAGGAAGCCTTAGGCCCGGGTGGGAGGGGGTACACAAAACAGAAAGCTAAAGACCACAGGGCCTTGAAGATCTAAAATTATACCGAGACAGTAGGAATTAAGGTTTTTAAAAAGCATATTGTACTAGACAGCCCCTGCCCACGATGCAAGGCAGGGAGGAGGTAGGGAAGGTATGAGGAAAGGCTTGAAGGGCAGGTGTGAACCCCTGCAGAACCCCTGGGGGAGAT